TGTGTTATTAAATTAGCTGATTTCAAGCAGGCCTATATACAAGTATTGTAAATAAACAACTCGAATGTTTTTATCTGTTATTAAAAAGCTTCGCACTCAGACGGAGATGTAATGTGTCTATGTAGAAACAAAGTGTATGCCACTTGCAAATGCTTAAGTATTGTACTTAACTTATGAGATCACGCGCCCAGCCCTAAATAGAAACAGCATCGCATGCATCCGCATCACACATACGCCATGTGAGTAGCAGCGGAAGCGCTTCATTATGCGCGCAAAATTGAAATAATATGCATATAAACATGGATGGGAAATAAAATGTAAAAAAGCAACAACAACAACAGCAATAGCAATAGCAACATGAGGACGACGTCAAAACAATTTAGCAAAAGGATGCACGCAGCCAAGGTGTACAATGGCATTGTGTACAGGCCCTGAGGTCGACATTGGCGCACGCCCCTCCCTACTCTATCCCCCCCTCATATCTACCTCTTAAGCTCGCTCGCTCGCTTGCACAAAGCCCCGACAGCACACAATGAGTGGACCACGGCGGGAGCAGCCGCATCAGAAGCAGCATCATTAACATTATATAAGCAAGAAACAGCGGGCACAATGACAGTGACAGCAACAGTCTGGCCTGCCATCCTGCCATCCTGTCATCCTCTCATTCTTCCACCCTGCTGCATGAAACTGTAATTTATGCTGTGGCGAAATGGCGCACCAAAAAAAGAAAACATTAAAAAAAGAAGAAGAAAAGAAACAAGCGGAACACGCCTACAAATACACACATCACGTAGAGCAGCGTTGCGGCTTATTTATGTAGTCTTGTACTAATATGGGTATGTATGGTGTGAGTGTGTGTGTGTGTGACTATAGTAAGCCTATGTGTACAACTTGACTGGTCATTGTCCTTTATGTGCACATAAATTAAGGCGTTGGGTTAAAACTTTCATTAAGACTGATGCAGTGGGAGATCGCACACTTGAATCGCATTACCCGATGTACATACATAGTGTGTGTTTAAATTTAAGATAGACATCACACTAATTTATATAATAAGAAACAAAAATAGCTACTTATCAGACCTGTTTTATATTTTGGATCGAATTTTGGCTCAAAGAACAGCATACCGTTTTGTTTGCGTTTTAAAACTATGCTTGCTTTTAAATCGTTTTCATTTGAGTTCAGTTTTTTTGGATTTTGCAATCTCTATCCAAGCATTACAAGCATTATATTCATCATTGAATATTCAGATCGATATCAATATAACTTAACAATGCATATCATCTATATGTTGTCTAAATATATTTCTAATTTAATTTTTTTTATTTTCTTTTTCTTTTTTTTAATTTTAACATAACATATTACAACTCAAATTTGTATTTATACAATATATGTATAATTTGGGGAATGGGTCCCGAATCGTCACTAAGGCCCGTCTGATCCGACGAGATTGATTGAAGTTTCATTATTTTGCTATTAGCATTCTAAGAAATTTAAATCCACATACACTTTAGCCGATTCCTTGCCTTATCCACATTAGAGCATGCATTTAGTGCTCAGTAAGCTTTATGAATACCATTTATACGTTTAACTAACAACTAGCAGTACATATAATTAGATATTAATTGAATTATCACAAAAATGTATTAGTAACAAACTATGCTTCGCAGATTTTCAGTTATCTTGAATGTCTAGAATCTTTGGAATATACATAATTATAAATTATTACAGAGTGGAGAGTTGTCGGCCGATATTAATCAAATACGCCTAAAAATTTGGCGGTATTTCAAATCTATTGTAAGTGATACAAATCAAATTATAGATATGTATGTATATCCTTTATGTCTCCTTGAAATCAAAGGTAGAGCAACTATTATATTAGAAATTGTCAGAGGAAGGAAGAATTACAAAAATACAGATTGTAGAGCGCTGGTTGAAGACATCACAAATAATACATAATATTCGAATAAAAATAAATGCGATATTAATTCAATAAATTAAAGCTTTCTCTTTGAAACCAAATTTATTTTATCAGAAAATCTTTATTTTTTCTGGAGATATGAGTAGAAACACTTTTTGCAACGAAAAAAGTCAGAAGCCCCATTATTGGCAACTTTCGAGAACAAAAGTGTATGATTTTTATACCCTGTACCCGTAGGGTAAAAAGGGTATATTAGGTTTTTGCAAAGTATGTAACATGCAGAAGGAAGCATCTCCGACCCCATAAAGTATATATATTCTGAATCAGCATGACGAGAGAAATCGATCTAGACATGTCCGTCCGTCCGTCCGTCTGTCCGTCCGTCTGGATGAACGCGAGGATCTCAGAAACTATAAAAGCTAGAATAACCAAAGTTGGCATCCAGATTCTTCTAGGTCCGAGAAAGGACGAGTTTATTTTATTTTTTGGAATTTTCCCCCCCTTCCCCTGCTACAGAATTTCGTCAATAGCGTCCACATTTCAAATGCTACCTAAACCAAACTTTGCACACATAATTTATATATAATTGTCTACTGTGGTTCAAAATTTTATTCAATTCGGTCAATTCTAATTATTAGCGAAACAAATTCTCGCCAGTACAACCTCCCCAAAATGCAGCAACAAGTTCTCTCTTCTTCTTCCTCTTTTTGCTGCTGCTATGGGCGCATATAACTCAGTGACGGAAGTTTACCTGGGTATAGGGTATTACACTGTCGGGCTTGCTCGACTGTAGCGTTCTCTCTTGTTATAACTTGAGAGTGTTGTCAGATACGAGTATGGATCTTTTCGATAAGTAACGATCATTCAAAATTAAAATTACCTCATTAAAAATCCTCTAAATATAATGAAAACTAAGCCTTCGATATTGCCTACTTGTTTTAAATTGGAGCATCTTTAAATTTGAATACAAATATCCTGGCATTCACTAATATTTCTAGCGAATTCGAAATGAGCAGATTCTTTTAATTTACCGGTTAGGGGGAAGTTTAAGAACAAAGATAAATATGCATTGGTTTCAATGCCATTAGACAGCAAGAAAGACCAACAGATGAGTCTTTTGGCCAACTTATTTAAATCACCGTCACAAAGTTTTGCGTAAATTTACATACGGTACCGATTTGGACAACACACACACACAAGTCAGCCCCATTATATGGCACCACTAGTCGGATGGGATACACACATATATACAAGTATACGAGCACTTACTTATATGTAAAGCCACATCAGGAAAACTTTACAACGCAGTGAGTGCAGTGGCGTACGCGTCAACTTCTTATAAAGTCTATAAAAAGTAATGACTCGCGCTACATGCCTGGGAAAGTATGCAACAAAAGTTTTGCGACTTTGATGCGCACAGGACCCGACATTGGCGCAGACATCGCAAAAATAAGGAAGAATTCAAGGCATAAAATAAGTTTGCATGGAAAATAGTCGACCCTTAAAGAAGTCAGAGCATGTAGCATGTACCTCAACATAAAATTAAAACACAATAAGGAAAGTTTGACACTAAAAATGGCATGGAAAGCGAGCATAAATGTTATCTAACGCTGCAACGAACATTAAATGCCCTTATCTATGATATGGGCTTTCAGGGTTTCGGGTTTTCAGATTTTGCAAATTACGTTGAACAAACTCAAAAAGTATTAACTAAGGGAAAAGTAACTTAAAAATAATAGCGCTTTTGATTTTTTAGAAGGTTTTTCCAATACAATTTTTTAAAAATTCCAAAATTATTTTGAATTTGATTTTTAGGGAAATAACTTAATTAAACAGCTTCTTCATATTCTCAATCCTCAATATCTCAATATCTTTTGTATAGAACTTGAAAGCACATGTACAATTTACAGCTTGCAGAGACAATTTAATAATTAAAGCATCCAAATGGTTCCAATAACGAAAGACATATTTGCATATAATGCATATAATGAATGCATATAGTATCCCTCAGTGATTGATTGCCTTTATATATGCGCTACAAGTTACAGGCAATCTACATGTATAGTAAATACATGTATGTATATCGAACCTATGAATAGCATCTATTGGAATTTGGAAGCTTTCTCGTATGCGTTACAAGCTGCTTTCTAAAGTCGAAACGCACTTTGGGATAGAAAGAGAAGTCTAAAAGGAAATCTTACAAAGAAAATGCATTTGCTTAAGTTGATATTATTTATGAGCTACGGCGGACAAATTAAATGGAAGCGAGAAGCAAGGATGTCGACGTTTACGCTGACGCTGACGTTGACATTAACGTGAAGCAAGCCACTCCAATTGTGACTCTGCACTTGAAATATCAAGAGTATTTGTGTGCGTGCTTGTGTGTGTGTGAGTGAATTTTTGCTACAAAACGTCAAATCACAGACGAGCACACACGCACAGGGACACAAACCTTGCGCACGGTTGAAGGAAATGCAAACGAAATTTGCATGCAACGTCGCCCACAACGTAGATGTAGATGATGATGATGATGATGACGAGGACGAAGGGAGGAGGCTGGGGAATTGAAATTCGTTTGCAAAATGCCAGCTATTTATATTTGTCGGTGACTGCATACGTGTGTGTGTATGTGTGTGTGTATGTGTGTAAGTCTGTACTTGTCACGCTGATTTTCAGATTAGAAATTAATCGAATTTTACTGTCACATCGAATGCAAAGTCCGCGCCCACAGGAAGTGATTTCGACGTCGTCGGCAACGTTGGCATGGCAATGCAAAAACAAGCAGCACATGCCAATACACACACATACACAGGCTCATTTACTCACACACGCACACTCATGGACTGCCAGACACTGATACCGAATGTTACGCAGCAGTCGGTAGCGGCAGTGGCAGTGGCAGTGGCAGCGGCAGGAGAATTGGAAATACGGCCCCATCGCATGCAAAATAAAGTACCGAAACATTGGCTAATGGCTGATAAGCTTCCTTTTTAAAGGAAATTAAATAAATTTCGACGCCAACCGTGGCGGTAGCAGCAGTCAGTCATTTTCTTATTAGATTTTTTGGCGGCGCCCTCACCTGTTCCACAATCGTAGACATTTTGCTTGCTTTTCTTTTGTTGTTGTTGGAGGAAATAATTCACTGCTTTCACTATAACGCTATGTTGTTGTTGTTGTTGCAGCGATACAATTTGCACGCACTTGCTAATATTATTTTCATTTATCTACACACTTTACACCGCACATTGTTGTTGCTGCTGTTGTAATTGTAAGGATATTTTTTCAATTCAATGCGTTGCGCACTATGCCGTTCGTCGCGTTGACGAGTTGTCTTGCTAAAATCAACTACTAAGAAATTATCGGCAACAAGGATATGGAGGACTTGTGTCCAGTGTGACCACAAAGTGGCAATGTGAAGATACTAAATTTTAATACCAAAAGTCACAGCACTTTTAATAACCCTTTCAAGTCACACTCATTCACATTACATCACGTTGAAATCAAATTTTTATTTTTTTGTTCATAGCCATACCTTGAGTGCCATTTTATTCACATTACATTTTGTTATTCTTATCCTTCGGCGTTTAGAAGGTGTTTAGCAACACTGTGCTACTTTTTGGTGCTGCCATGTGGCAGTTGGCACAGCAGACGTATGAATTTGAATCTTCCGTCGATGCACAAATAATCGATCAATTAAATGATGGCAGGCTATGTTTTGTGACTTGTCATTTATTGTTTTCCTATTAAAATTGAATAAATTTTAACATAAAACGGAAATGATATGACTAACATACATATGTAACGTAATTAATAAATAAAGTTTCATTTAATTTAATTTGAATACATACATAATAATTTGAATACAAATAAGTACGTGAACAAAGAAAATAAAATATTAATAAGGCAATTGGAAGACAAACAAATTATTTTGATGTTCAAGGAATACATTTTTACCATACATATATCTGGGATATTATTTCTGTACTAGAAATGCTAATTATATAAACGATAAGAAGATTAAATGCAAAATGACGACTACAAACGGAGTACAGGTGAAGTTCTTAAGACCCTCCTTAAAAACTAAATAAATGTAAATCAAAGTATTGTACGATTTTTAGTAGCTAAGTACTCCACTAAACTGTTAACATAGACACTTAGAAAAAGGTCAATTGTACAAGCACGCTGCGAAAAAACGGTTAGATTGCGTTTCCTTAGCCCTTTTGAAGTTTAGGAGATCTTCACCAACATCGATTCCAGTTAGGGCAGCTCAAAATCAAACCGTCAGCTGCACAACCTGCAATCGATGTATTCTTGCACAACTAATCGATAACTTAAACGATATCTGTGCCAACAACACTTTTTCAACACCCAGCGCGCACGAATACGTCAACAAAAGCCAAAGTGGCCCAAAGAGCAACAGCAACAGCTGGACAAACATTTATAATAACCAAATTGGAAGTAAAACGGTTTGAAATTAAGAAAAAATGTAAATTCATTGCCCACACTGACGCTAACTCAAGCAAACGCAAAAGTAATCAATTAAGCCAAGAGACAGATAACGGCGCACACACACACGTACATAAAGACACCCAGGTGAGGCCGGGAGCGTTGAAACGCAAACATATGGAATGGCAAAACTTCAATAAAATTAGCGATAAGAAAGCACAGGTACAGGTGGGTAATTTTTTACGTTTGCACTGATGTTTCAATTGTAATCGTCGTAATATTTTAACTGTTTGACAGCCTTTCCCCATCTCTCTTTCTCTCGCTGTCGCCGTCACTGCAGGCGTCGCAGTCATTGCAGCACCAACAACAACAACAACAAGAATAAACAACACAGGCAAAGTGGTGCAGTTTCGTCGCACTTTGTTTGCAATTGATAATGGTGATGCCAAAATATGAGCGCCTCAGTACAAATGAGAGCACCAGTGCCCTATCGGCGAGTGCCAGTGTCAGCGGCGTCGACGATGAAGACTGCGAAGAAATCGAACTCGGCCTAGACAGCGAACGAAATAAATTGCCAGCGTCAACGCAGAATGGTAGTGCTCATAAAGATCGACGGGTCTTGCCGACGCATGCCAACTTTCAGTACATTAACAATAGCAGCAGTAGCGGCGGGGGCAGCCACAACAACAACAAGTTGTCCGCACAGGATCAGAATCCGCTCGCTGATAGTACAATGTCGCGACATGCGGATGCGCGCTTCATGCAAATGGCGATTGGCACACTGGTCACTGTTCTCGTCTATTTAACGCTATCGATTACGCTGACGTTCTACCAAAAGGACATAATCAAAAAGTTAAAATTCCCCCTCACCATTGTTACGTATCATCTGATCGTGAAATTCATGTTGGCCTCCATGGTGCGCTCCCTTTACAAGCTGCGCGTGGGAAAATCTCGTGTCCAGCTCGATTGGCGTGTTGCATTACGAAAAATGGCACCCACAGGTAAATATATATAATTAGTTCGAAATAATAGGAGTTTTTACAACTTTGTAAAACAGGTATTGCCAGTGGTATTGATATTGGATTCTCCAACTGGGGACTTGAGCTGGTGCCCATATCTCTATATACTATGACCAAATCATCAACCATTGTCTTCATACTTTTGTTTGCCATACTGCTGGGGCTGGAGCGCAAGGTAAGAGTATCCAGTATAAGTAGTACGAGTATGTACTATATTTGTGATAATTGTGTTTTACAGAGCTGGTATCTAGTATTTGTTGTGGGTCTCATCGCCGCTGGCCTCTTTATGTTCACCTACAAATCAACGCAATTCAACGCGTTGGGCTTCTTTTTCTTGCTTTTTGCTTCGCTCAGCAGCGGTGTGCGTTGGACGTTCGCCCAATTTATAATGCAAAAATCAAAACTTGGTCTGCACAATCCCGTCGATATGATATTTCATATGCAGCCGTGGATGATTGTATCGTTGTTGCCCTTTTTAGTAGGCTTTGAAGGTACGTCACTAATTTGTTATACATTGTGTGTCAATGGCGGGTTGAAGTTATGTTTCCGTTTCATTTATTCTTCTTAGAATGTGAACAGACTTAGTAAAAAACAGAATTATGTACATAAAATGGAGCTATTATATTTTTTGGATTTCAAAAAGTAAATTTAATATATAGTATTTCATCTGATCACAAAATATTTGAAATATTACTTCTTAAAAATGTAATTTTAAAATTTGTTTTAAAAATAAGTTATGTAATTCAAATCCGTTTTTTTGACGCCTAAAAGTTTAAACGATAGCTAATGTTTTATTAATTGCATTACTAATATTATATGTACATATTTTAATACCTTTATTAAGCTGTAGAAGTACGATTATGTCAGACTTTAAAAAAATGAAACTGCCATTGATCTATAGCTGCCTGCATAACAGCTGTTCATACAAACAAACAACAGACACTTGTCTCAGCTTTTTCTTTTTTTTAAGTAAAAGACCCAAAATATGCAGTTTTTGAGCCCAAAAGCGTAAAAGATTTTTTTATTTAAGTGTTTGAATAATAACTTATCCTTTCCTCCGCTTATTTACAGGTAAGCTGCTGTATGACGTTGTGCTGAATCTGAAGCATGTCTCCAACGATGTGATTGTTGAGACAATAGCCAAGATAAGCATAGGCGCTGTGCTTGCCTTTCTTATGGAAGTTATGGAGTTTTTGGTGCTATCGAAAACCTCCAGTCTGACACTCTCCATAGCAGGCATATTCAAGGACATTTGTCAGCTGGCGCTGGCTATCGAACTGAACGATGATCAGCTCTCATTTATTAATGTGGTGGGACTGGTTGTGTGCTTAATTGGCATAATGTGCCATCTGCTGCACAAATACTCGACCATGGGTAAAGCAGATAAACAGCAGCAGGCTCTGCAAAGGGACAACGATGAGGACGAGGAGGAGGACATAGCCAACGAGTTTAAATTTAACGAAGGCAATGTTATAGTTGGTTCGCATGGTGCTGGTGGGGCTGGCGGCCATTCAACGTTGACGGTACCGCTGCTGGAGCAGACCGATTCCGAGGAGGATTCGGGTAACGATGCTAGCAATAAGCAGAATGCATCGGATGTTATATTCGACGTACTGAAGCGACGCGATATGCAGCGATGAGTTGCTTTTGTTATCACACATACCTGCACACATGCACACGCACACAGACGCTCTCACGCACACCTCTACAACACACACACACATACACATTTTTTTTATTGTTTGCACCAACAACAACTTATATTTTTTCAGGCTTTCGGATCCTGCGTTGGGTACTGCGTGAAAACCGTTTGAGAAAAATCAAAATATAATTTTGAACCAAACATCATCATCGCATTTATATGTATGCATGTGTGTGTGTGTGCGATTGTCTGTGTATGTGCCTCACCACCGCCACCACCACCCGCCGTTCCAGCGCTGCTTGCCCCTCATCTTGTAAATGTTGTAAATTCAAACGCCTGCACTTACTTCTTCAAAAATGTAGCCCAACTAAGAATTTAAGCTTCACTGTATTCGCAACTATTTTATGCATTTTTATGTAATTGTTTGTATTATAATTTTTACACACTTTACACATTCCTCGAGTCTGTGACCCGAGTGCCATTTGAAGTAATGCAACATTTATATGTTTAGTTATAAGTTCTCTTCTCTTTTTGTTGTTGGTTGTGAGGCAGCATGTGAATTGTTATTATTCCTAAAAGAAAAACGCATTGACTACTTTATCGACAGCATTTAATTTAAATGTAAATTACCTGTCGTATTATATTTATGTATTTAGAAACAAAAACTTCAACTTGATGTTGATGGGAACTGGATGATATCTAAATGTTATCTTATAATTTAGTTAATATTGTAAACAAAAAGACAACATGTATTGTGAATAAAAAAATATAAAACCATTTTCAAATCCATTATCGGTACATAAATTAAAACAAACTACTTATATAAATATGCTATTCGATGTAAATTATGTAAATGTATATGTTTTTCCAAACCTCTTAATAAACAATTAAGTCTATTTAACTTTTTGAAGCTATTGATATGTGTGTAAGCAATTCTTGATGGTATATACTTATAAATTCCTTTTGATACCTCGATAGCTGCTAAGGTCGGCATATTATTGATAGACCATTTAGATGCTTTAGAAGGATTTATGAACATGGGGGGAAAACTTTATTATGCTCTGTACCCGATGAGTGAGAAGACAGTTTCATGTAACAAGCGAAAGCACGTGTGGCAGGAACATATTAGAATCGAAAACAGTTTAAGACAGCAAACTAGATGTTGAATTCACAAATCCATAAGCAGATCAACCTTTTGTCAAACCTGTGGCTGTATATAGTACGGATCTGCTGTGTTTCGAAAACGTCAATAGCGCGGCGGATGAAGGAATTCAAACTGTTTTCGTTCATTAAAAGTCTATCCTTATATACTATTCTTCAAATCTTATTATTTACACGAATTTATTTGCAGCGGGTGTTGTATAATTGACCTTTTCTTAAGTGTCTTTTGAAATTCAAGTGGTGTACATAAATAGAAATTGAATAGTGTTTTGAAAACATAGAGGAACACTCATTTAAATCCCAGTGAAGGTCTTAAAGTCCCTGACGCCAGTGTTTGAGTGCAAAGGCTATAATCTGTAGTCTTCTTTGTGCATTTAATCTTCTTATTACAATTAGCACTTCTACAATTAATATTCCTATAAGTAAAGAGATATATGGTGAAAATATAACCCTTTACGGTCAATATAATTTCCTTAACCTTTCCTAACCTTTGCTCTTTGCCTTTGTAGAGCTGCTCAATTCCATTGTCCTTTAAGATCGTTTTAGGTTCTCCGTTCCCTGCAAACCGACTAGGAAATATTTCCCATTAATTTTGTCTAAATGCGTAGATAACTATGCTTTGCACAATCGTTTTCGGGTTATAGGCTTAGATTATAATGACTTCAAAAGAAATTTATCTCTACAGTTTAACAATCTTTACATTTTAATCTTCTCTTTCTATAAGATGAATATTTTAAAATGTTGTAATAGGACTACTGATGCGTCTGACCACATTTGACTTTGATTCATTTTGTACGCGTTCTTAACTATTAACTCAAGTTCGATTTTTTGACATAAAAACACATACAATTTATCTTTTTAAATTACAATATTAGAGTTTTGTTATATCTCTTGTTGTAGCATTTTTGTAATATTCCTCTTCTTTTATTTTGAACGCCTATATTTACAGAAATATAATGACGACAATCAAGATTAAAAACTATGTCTTATGAAGGCGTTGTATTAAGAATTTGTAAATGAAAGTAATTCAATTCAGTTATATATGTGTCACAGTAATATAGCAGAATTTGATTCGAGTGGGGATGGTATAGTTAATACATATGTACATAAAACCTATAGTACTTCATTAAATGGATTTATTTATTGCTTACATGTACAATTCAATAATTTAAATTCCGTTTAAGAATTTCAACATCGAATTTACACAACTTGTAGTATGTTTTATGAGCAATGCACAAACAAAAACTATGCATTTCAGATGATGATACTATATATATACTATACATTAGAATATATAGTGTATGATCGGAATATAATATTAATATATTGTATATAGTATATATAAAATATATTATTATATATTGTATATATTATTTGTTTTTTTTTTTTTTCAGCTACAGGAAGACGTCCGTCAAGAACACCTGCTCAGAAATTTAACCTTAGTTGAGTTTTTGGCGTTTAGCTGCTTGTTGTTCGCCACCAATATCATCGTTTACTGTGTCCAACTTTCTCTTAACAGGTTCTGATAGTATCTGAATATCAACAACAGTTGATACATCATCCTGTGGAACCGAGACACTTCTCTTAACTATACGTAATGGCTCTTTCAGTATCTGGATGTCAACTACAGTAGCTACGCCATCCTGCGGCACCGACACATTTTTCTCAACTGTGCCAATTGGTTCTCCAAGCAGCTGAATGTCAATTATAGTTGCTGCGCCATCGTGCGACACCGACAAGTAATCATCGAAACCAGAATCTGGGCTGGACCAATGTTTCAGCTCGTCCTGCGGCTGATATTGCGAGACTGGTGTGCTGATCTGATCCTCTGGATTATTTGCACTGTAATAGTAGTGATAAATTGTTATAATGTCTGCATATGATTGCAACTCCGGTTCTGTGTAGGATGTCAAGTCGGTGAGATATAAGGTCCACCGTTGGGGCACACCGCTCACCTGTCGCACAGATGCAATGCAACTGGCGGCCAGCAAAGAGGGTGGTACATTGCCAAATCTATTGACTGTAAACAATAAGGCATTTAAATTAGCTTCTCAAATAAGTAAAAATGATGAATGCTCACTTCGTAGGGTGTAGTCGGCCATACGCAGTAAAAGTTCAGCCAAGTAAGTAATCATCTGCTGCAAACTGGCATAAGCTGCATGCTGCCTGCCCTGCACATGTTGATTATCTTCCACTAACATCTGGGAATATGCGATATAATCCTCTTCTGTTAAAAAACTGTCTGAGAAGAGCTCGACAAAGCTGGCAGTGGTCGGACGTATCAACTCGAAATCGAAAAAGCACAATATTTTGCGCTCTACCGCCTTGAACTCAAAGGCCGTGTAACAATAATTAACCAAACTATTCATATCGCTATAGCGTGGCACATATGCATCCGAGTTCTCCATCTGGGACGCCAGATGAATGGAAACAATCGCCACCAAATTCAATTTGTCTTGTCGAATGGTGAAGCGATCGATGAAGCGATCCAAATAGTAAATCGCTAAATGCAAAACGACGCGGTTGAGACTGTATTGTTTGGTGAGTGTCTCGCAGAACTGGAGCAGATGGGGACGATCCTTAATATGCGAGGACATAAAAAGTATCGGAAAGCGTCGTCCTTCCTGTTCCATCATTGAATAGAAAATGTCCTGCGCATACTCACACAACAAATTTGTTGTCAAACTACGATGCTTATTTAACATCATTTTAAAAAAAACATTAGAAATACGAACGCGCAAACAAATATTGACACAAATTTACCATTAATCTCTCTTGATGCTGCTCCTTAAATTCTTTGAGCACATAAATATATTCCTCATATTCAGTCATTTTTTTATTGTTTTAGTCTTCAAGACTTTACGTCTTGCAAATGCTGACTATAAGAAAACTGCAAAACAAATAAAAAAAAACTTTATCGCAGCTCGGCGCAACTAACGGTAGGTCTTCTTCTTAACAAATTGCAGATAATATAGAGCCGTGTTCAGTGTTGCAAAACGTGGGCTGAACGTGAAATCACAATAACGGCTAATACTTAACAATTAATTAATTCGGATGCTAGACTAAATGAACCATTTCTATCTGAGTGAACAGTAAGGCAATGAAAAAAGTTGGAAACATATAATATAATATAATAATATTATTTGGTGTTGTTTTTGAAATGATATTGCGGGAAAATATTCGAAATTGCGGAAAGCGGGAATTCTGGCTTTTTAAAAATACATTTCGCATTTTTCCGCGATTTGTAATTTTGCCAACAAATATGTAAAAATATGTGGTTAATGATGATTTATTGAGCTCTTTTTATACGAAAAGTGACTCTTATATTTATATATATATATATATATTATTTAAAATGTTCACCAAGATGACCAAAAAAAAGCTTGAAAAAACATTTTTCTAAGCATTTTTTGTAAAAAGAAATTTAGCTTTTTACTACGCTTTTTTTTTGTAAAAATTTGTAGCTTTATTTCAGTCTCCTTCCCGTCAAAAACAGATTTTTTTTCTTCTAAAAAGTTGGCAACACTGTGTACGTTTGTAACTCCCAGAACGAAGAATGACAAGCCATACGCGAATTTGCTCGGTTCCACGTTAGTATACATACATACAGTGAAAACTCTCTTGGTCGGACAGTTACAAGGGGAGTGTCCGCTTAAGGGGATACTTAAATATTGTATACACCGATCGAATGTTTTAGAAAAAGTGTCCGACGAGGAGTGTCCGTATAAAAGAGGTGTCCGTTAAGGGAGTTTTCACTCTATGTACATAAATAGAGTGTAGTAGAAATGTGTCTATCTTGCGTCGTTTCATGCCAACATGTTCGACAATGGATGGCATCTTTGGCAAGAACATCATTAGTAAAGAAATATTTTTCTTATACATTGAATGCCTCCTAACTGAGCCATCGTTGTGAATGAATTAGACTGAAGATTTTCAAAATACATACATATGTATGTACATATGTACATATTTGCGCAATAAAGCATGGGAAAATGTTTTATTGCAAGACCCAGTGGCTTCACATGGCATGAAGGCAAATAGTTTGCACACGAATTCATCAAATGTTCGAAAGTAAACCATGAAACAAACACCTCCAAATTTTATAAAGATTTTTTTTAGCGAATTTGTTAACATTTTTGTTATTTGACTGAAGGAAAAATTAGCCTCTTGAATTATTATTTTTGGTGTTATCATATTTATTTCAATCAAGCCTTAATTACATAAGATTCGTTTGGTTCATTGGGATTTTAAAGTTATATTTATGCAAGTAAATGGATGCCCCATAGGGACCACCATTTCTATAAGGCTGTCATTAAAATACAATTTGCAGAGTCTATCATATTTTGTTTGATTCACACATAATAGTTTAAGTTGAAAATAACAATTTTTTGATTGCTTTGTCTTCGTAAAACGTTAATATAAAAAAAGAATATTTGTTTCAGTCATTTTAAATGCGTACAAATCCGTAATCAAAACGTTAATAAAAAATAATATATATAAAGAAAAAAATAAAAACGATTTTAAATCATTCATTAATGATTTGGTTTGATTTCAAGGCTTTGGAAAAGGTACTTTTTCCATCGATATTAACGCACACAGTCGAAGGTATCCTCATTGTCGGAGTCCTCTGTCTTCTGGTTACTTTCTAGCAGTGATACGGGCATCTCACAGCCAAAGTAGGCGTTATTATTGGCACAGAAGAGTATGAGCTGGCGCCAGCAGTCGTCCACAGATAGCAAGTGTGGATTGCCAAAGATGATCATCAGAGAACGAGCACGGGAAATGGCAACATTCATGCGTTTGTTGCAGCGCACAAAACCCAAACAAAGACGGCGATCCTGGCGTAGAATAGATTCAGTTGAACGTACAGTTGAGATGAGCATTACGTCGCGTTCCTGAAATTTCAAAAAAGGACAACTATAGTTGATTGAACGCGAATCGAATGGACGCTTACCTGTCCCTGAAACTCCTCCACTGACCCTATTTTTGGCATTTTCACATCGGAGGCAATAAACATATTTCGCAACGTCTTTACCTGCTTAATATATGGGGTTAGGATGCCTATTTGATCGGGATGTACATTGAAACGGTAGAGGGCTATGGCAGTAATGAAGACTTCATTCGCCTCGGCATAATTGAACCACGATGGGGAATCAGGTTCCTGCTTATTCTCGCCCAAAACTCCATAGAATATGGTTCCGTGTGTGCGTGGCAAGTCACGGTTGTTCGGTTTGAATACAGACTGCAGCACTTCCAACAAGCGCACCTCACGCGAATCCACAGGGGAGACCATTGGAATGAGTTCATTGTCGTAGAACAATTTGCTATAGGTCGACATAATGGATGGAAGGGAACGATAATTGTACAAGAGCTTGGTGAGCAGAATTGGATTGTAGCCCGAGGTATTGGGATAGCGCTGTAAATCCTTTCGATATGGTGGACGCTCGAGGAGACGCTCCAAAAACGACACTTGAAAGCCACGCTCGGCCGCATAGCGATTGATAACGATTGCCTGTAGCTGATGGGGATCGCCAGCAAGTACTACTTGGCCGTGATTGCGTGGCAGCAACACTATTGGAATGATTGTCTCTGGCTCGGTACACTGGCCAGCCTCGTCGATAAGCACATGCGAGAAGTGTCCGGGAGGGAAACCCATTTGTAAATAGTTGCCCAATGTGGTGCAGGTGCTGATGGTGACGCGATAAATGCCCAAGAACTTCATTTGGCAGCGCAACTTCAAGCCCTGCTCCGTGACGACCATCTGCCGAATGGAAAGATTAATAAAAAAAGAGGCCAAGCTCAGCATTTCTTAGCAACTCACCGTATCATGAACCGTGCCTATAGAGCCAATGTCAACGGTGGCACAATAGGGCATCAGTTCAGTTGGAATAAGATCCTTCTCAATCTGGTTCTGGGACACTAGACGTATGAAGGAGCCCGGAGTCGTTGCGCCGCTCTCAATTAGACGTTTGGTAATCAAATCCGCAGAACTATTTGAGGGAGCACCCACCAGCAATCGGGCACTGGGCAAATTTTTAACCAACTGGAGAATGGTCTCCACCAGAGTCACAGTTTTGCCCGTGCCGGGTGGTCCAAAGATGACATAAGGCATACATTCAGTCTCGCCCCGCAGCACATTATAAACGGCACGTTTCTGTATAGAGTTTAGGCTTGGATTGTACCAATCTAGTTTGGTGTCATAGATATACATGTCCTTGTCGTCAACAAGACTGACCTCTAATTGGGGATTGTTGCGCTTTGTAACCTTTGTGGGGAAGAGAAACTTTTCCCCCATATGGCTTATAATGCGTGAGATCGAAAAATGTTGCTTGCGAAAGCCGAAACGAGAGAAATGGAACTGCAGACTATAATCCGAGCCATTGTATTGTTCATGGAAGCCAGCATTAAATTTGAGCAGCACCCGATCGAAGAGCACCTTGTGGACAATGCCCTCGAAGATCTTTGGATTGGGCTTGACTGCGCCCCAGATGTTGATTGCATGCACAACATCGCCCACGACCAGCGAGGGACGACGTTCTGCGAGATTCTCAATTTGTAGCGATAGAAATTGTCCATCACGTTGGAAATGAGCGCGGTCGCGATCGTAATTACGAAAACTAATGAAATAGTCAATCTCCTCCAAGTGCAGAAACAGACTGAAGCGCTGCACATAGTTGTTCATGCAAAGCTCCTCCTTCAAGCACGGATACTGTTTCTCAATGGCCCCTAACATCTCTCTGCGACGCTCTATGGTCAAATATAAGAGACGCAGCTGTTCGGGTACTTCATAAAAGCCCAGCCGAACGGGCACAAAACGACGCTTGGTGGCTATGCATTCGCCAGGCACCACATCGAACTTGTTGGACCACACCTGATGGGCATAGTAACGCGAGCGTTGGGCCACTGTACGGCCATTGGTGTTCATCTGGGCTGAGGCAACCAAACGACGTTCCGCCTCCTGGGCCAGCTCCTCCGACTCGCACACAATGATGATGAACGAGCGTTTAACACGAAATTTATCAAACACCAATGTAAATAGTTCCTTTGATTCGCCAAAGAACTTGGACTGCACCTCGAATATGACCGACAATTGACCGCCAGCACCTATTTTAGCTTCACCCAGCGGCTCAACCACACTGATCAGTGAATCGGGACCCTTTCGCAATTCGATTTCTTTGAGGAGAACCGTGCGCGTCAAATTATTCTCTATTTTCAACGTCACATTTTTCTTCTCCCACAGTTTAGTGAGAATGCAACGTTCTTCGCCAACGATGTTCACAGCATAAAGGCTGGTCGTGTTTGGTTGCCGGCATATCTCGCCAAAGTTCTTCTCCAGCATCTCAATTTTGATGGCACGATGTACGAAATCATTCTGGAGTGACAAAGAAAGGCAATTATTTCAGTATGCAGAAGGAGTCTTTGAATTTTACATAAAAGTTCAACTTTCTTCCAATTACTTTCAATTCCATTCCTTTTCAGGGCAGCTCCCTATGAACGATTTGATATTTCCAGAAAAAGAAAACAACGTTGTTTTTTTGTTTAAATATAAACATGTTGAATTGTGCTTAAACACTAGTCTGAAGTACATTAAGAGCCTTTATGAGAATTAATATACTTTCAAAACATAACCGAAGTAATCGTAAATTGACTGGGCCCTTGAGAATAGATCACCTCTAAAAGATACGAATCAAATGTTAGGCTGAGGCACAAAGTCTGTTCAACATTTTGAATTTAGCGAATGAAGAGATGGTTTCATTTCGAGTCCGCTTCATATGTCTCCTGTCGATCCCACCCAAGTCCTTCTAAAAGATACTATTTAATCCAACTAAATAAAAAACCCAGTCATGCCTAATTTTACCCATATCTGACTATTTAAATACTGTTCTTTAGAGAACAATCCTTATAAGATGTCAGAAGATACTGAACTTGCATATTTCTGACACGTTCGAATTTTATAATCTGTTAAAAACCTCGATATATGTATATAAAACAGTTTGTCCTGACTGACTCACTGATTAGGAATCAACGCAGAGCCCAACGGGAAGAGCTAGGAAGCTGAAATTTGTACACATGTTTCCTTTCAAAGTGTGAAAAATTCTGACTCCAAAGTGGGTAAAACGGCCTCCAAGAATTGTGTGAAAAATTTACAATTTTCTTCAATTAAATTCAATATTGGTTTGTATATTCTCAAAAAGAATACAAAAACACTATTTACTTGCATTTTAGTCATTTTTCCTGGGGCTTGAATCAATGGGGTTTTAACATTTCTCTTTTTTTAATGGCGCTAAATAATATTATACATTCACTTTATGGAACGCACTAAACTTACGTAATCACACTCAATCAGGTCCGCCTTCACAATGTCGCCCAAATGCAACTGCGTGCCTGGGGGCACATCCTGCTGAAATATATAGGCATCTCCGGAGAGAACGGTTATGTTTTCAAAAACCTTGTCAACCGTTAGCTTTTCACCAATTTTCATAAGTGATGGCAAAACTTTCAACACTTGCAGAATTTCGCCTGCTTGGTCCGCATAGGATGTATCCAGCTGTACGTTACATTCCAGGATAACACGATCACCCTCCTTGGGTATGAATGTAAGCTCAACAGAGTCCAAGTCCACCTCCTGTTTGTTATAGGCCGTGTCCACGTAAATGGCAGAAGGTAGACGTGCGGTGATTAATCCTGGGACACTTCGTAGCTGCGTGTTGAAGATGGTGCGCTTTTCCTTTCTGAGCGCCTCAACAGCATCTTGTATCTGTTGGAGTGTAAATGGGATATTGGAACAATAAACTTGTAAAGGATTAAAACATTATCTTCCTTCCTAAATGCATTTATTTTTGTTGCAAAAAAGGCAACTTACCTTCACCGTGCCCAAATCCCAGTTGTCCTCCACTACATTTTGAATTTTGACCACCTTCTTGTAGTTGGTCTTATCATTTTGGTAGGACAAATATTCCACAACACAACCGGGATGCAGATCCGCAAATATCGTTCCAGCGGCCTGCGCATCGAAGCAAGTAAAATCGTCAATGACGCCGCTGTTTGAAGAGATTTTGGTGATGACGCCTTTTTGGGATGTACATAAGGCGCCTGGAACTTTGTTAACGCCAACGCCAGTGTTGAGATTATCTGCCACTTCGCCTTCGACCGTATTTATGATGATGTCCTTCATGCAGGAAACTAATGCTTCAGTTTCCAGCTCTTCCGTCAATACTTCATGGTCCAGAAACTGTGTCTCCTTCTCCAGAAGCTCCTGTTTAAGCTCGCGCTGCTGTTCAGGACTTTGGAGAAAATTGCGAACAAAAGTTAACATTTTATTGCTGCGGCTTCTTGTCCAAACTCTCGTACATCCAATCGGTCTCGTTAATATAATTGATTTCTTTGCGCAGATTTTGTAAACGTTTCAAATGGTCCTCGGTAGTTTCTACTTTAAAACCGCACTCGCTCGCAAGAAGTGCGAATGCTTTGTTCGCTTGAGTGTGCAGTTTTTTGTTCTGCAAAAGAAGCATAAACACAAAGTCAACACATAATGTAAACAAATATTGAAAGACAATTAAAGCCCCACCGTCGCCGCGTTGCTGCTGCCCCCAGGAGTGTTGCTGTTCGATATGCTGCTCGCTTCGTCACTGATGCCGGTTGCCTCGTTGGACATCATCCGTTTTTCCCCAAATCCTCAAGTGCTGAAAAAAAGAAGCCAAAAAAAACATAAAGTACAATTCGCTGGAAGCTGAAATCGGAGTCGCATACTTACACAATCTGTTTCGTTCAACGAATGCTCATTCAAAAAGCAGCAGAAGATGCAACCCGAAACGCGCTTTGGAAAAATTAAGCAGTCCTTTCGAAAAACTTCAAGTGCCGCTGTGGTTTCGAAAAGAGAAAAACATGCTTTGTCAACATAAAATATAAAATACATACACAGCTTCAAGCTGAAATCGGAGCCACATACTTACACAATACGTTTGTTCAAGGAATGCGAATTCAAGCAATAGCAAGAACGCAAAGAGCGCTTTGGAAATGGATTGAAGAATTCTTTCTTCAATAGAACATTTACAAATATTCGATTCCTTATTTTCTGGTTCTTTCGACGACCGCGTGCTGATTGAATAAATTCAAGATATGAGTTTCTAAACACGCGATTTATGCAGTTTTCTTTGACGTCAAAAAAATCAAAAATCTTTCAAAAAACTTCAAAAGAAGTAGGAATAAAATATTAAGCAATCTCTCTGCATTTGCAGCGTATTCTTACACTAATCTGCTTCGTGCACTGAGTTCGCCTCAATAGGCAAAATAAATTTCCACCAGAATTGCACTTTTTAAAATGAATCAGAAAATCTCTTCACAAAACAAATCTAAGTGCCACAGAACGAACCGAACATGAAAAGAGCGAACAACAAAATGAAAGGATGCAAAGGCATTTTTGATGAGGCTACCGGCTAGAGATGGCAAATGAAGAGTGCAATAACAACTGTTGTGTTAGACAATCATCGATATTTTGTCAATGCTGCCAATTAAACAGCTGCTTGAAAAAATTTCGCAAGCACCCAAAAATAATAATATTTGGGGTATTCCTTCCAAAATGTGTGTATGTATGTATGTATATGCACATACAAGTATGTAAGAAAACTGTTTAATGCACTTTCCAAAACATAACGGAAAGAGCCTTCGGAGCACAAAGAGCCACTACGTGCCCATCGCAGGTTAAATGCAAATGAAGGTATTAGATATAATATTCCATATTGGGTGACATTTTGTTGAAATAATTAAGCCAAGCTTTTTTGAAAAATTAGATGATGTGTTTGGTGTTGCATCTGGGTGTTGCAAATTTCCGGTATAGATTATCATTCAATTTTAATTAATAATAAAAAACACAACTAACATTTGCAAATTGACATTTGAACTTTTAAATGCATCATCAGCTGTCGCAGTACATGGATATTAAACATCGATATATCTTCAGTGCTTATCGATAGTGCGTGCGCACTGTTGCAACATGCTCTAAAAGGTGGCAGCACTGTTCATTGCAACAACGTGTATAATAAGTACTTGCAAATTGGCAAGTGAAGGATTCGCAAATCAATCTGCTGTATTGGCCAAGTGTTCAGTTAATGTCCATAGAACCGTGACGTCGTTAAGGGGAACACAGCCAGCTTGTCATTTGCCTGCCGAGCGAGAAAAGCGTCGACGTCGCAGCCGTTGCGTCGCGTGTACACATTCAGAAGTGAATAACTTTAAGTTTTTTGTGGATATTCGGAGAAGAAACGTGTTGAGACTGCGCCAGGAAAGATGGTTAAAGCTAAAAAGGGCAAGAAAGAGATAGTAACCACTGCTGGTGGTGGCTCCTCAGCTGATGAAATGTGAGTACGCATGCAGCGATCTATGTTTGTTGCTTTTGGTGGGGGTGTTGTTGTTGTTATTGTTGCCAACGTGGTGGGCCGTGTTGGCAACTTTCTAATCGATTACAGTGTACTTAATTTGCATTTTTTTGTTTACGCAGCGAAAGTAATCCAGCCCAGAGCCAAACGGTCATTGACTCCGATGCCGACAGTGTGGATGTGGACAAGGTAAGCGCCAACAACAAGCGGAATCAGCAGCAGAAAGGCAAAAAGCAAAAGAACAAGAGGGCCACTGCACCGGATTCGGATGAAGGTAGCGATGCCGATCAGGTGGAGGCTTTGACAAAGGGTGTGAAAAAATTGAATGTCAAGGGCAAAGGCAAGAAGGCAAAAGAAGTCGCCAGCGATGATGAGTCTGGCGATGAAGCTCCAGCACCCAAGTCTAAGGGAAAAGCGGCCAAAAAATCGGCTTTCGAGCTGTTAATGGACGACGACGACGATGATGATGATGAAGCGCCGGCAGAGGAAATCGCACCAGTCGACAATGAGGACGAGGAGGAGGTGGTCGTCACAAAGACGCAAAAGAAAAACGAGAAAAAAGGCAAAAAGGGCAAGCGCAAGGGAAAAGATGATGACGAGGAGGATCTCGACAAGGTGCTGGCCGAGCTGCAAGCGGAATATGCTGGTGAAGCGCCTTCTGTAGTGACGGTTGTGTCACCCGAAGATTTGGCCGATGAGGAATTCAGCAAAAAGAAAAAGAATAAGAAGCAACAGAAACAAACTTCTGCCGCTGCTGAAGAAGCTGCCGTGGAGGGCAGCGATGACGAGATTGGAAACGAAGAAGCTGGAGGCACCATGAAAACGGCAGCGCAAAAGAAAAAGGAGAAAAAGGAGCGACAAAAACGCGAAGCGGCTTTGGCTAAGCAGCGCGTAGCATTGGAGCCCAAGCAAAAACCGGTGGAAAAGCCCGAGCCTGCGCCTGAACCAGCGCCGGTTTCCGAAGAGCCTGCTGTAGAGGATGACGCCGAGCCTGTTGCCAATGAGGGCGACGAGACCGAGGATGGCGGTAAAGCGAGCGGAAAAAATAAGAAAAAGGGCAAAAAAGACAAAAAGGCCGAGGCTGAGGAAGAGAAGAAAGATACAAAGAAGAAAGGCATGTCCGCGGCCATGGTAGCGGCAATGCAGGAGCAACTGAAAAAGCGCAAGGAAGAAGAAGCTCGCCTCCAGCAATTGGAGGAGGAGCGTATTCGTTTAGAGGAGGAACGCGAAGAGGCACGTCTCGAGGCTGTGCGACTAGAAGCTGAGAAAAAGGAAAAGAAGAAGCAGAAAGAAGCCGAACGTAAGGCGCGCCTCAAGGCTGAGGGCAAACTTTTGACGAAAAAACAAAAGGAAGACCGAGCACGCGCTCAGGCGCTACTGGAGTCTCTAAAGGCGCAGGGATTGGAAATTCCAGATCCGACTGAGAGGCGTGCGCCACGACCAGGTAAGTAACCCAAACTTCAAATATTGAATATATTCACTAACGACATACATATTTGCAGGCACACGCATAAGGCCTAACAAGAAAAAGGGTCCGAAGGACGGAACGACTGAGGATGAGGAGGCCAAGGCAGCTGCCGGAAAAGAAACTCCTCAAACCGCTGCTGAACAGGCCATAGCCGAAGCTGCCAAGCAGGAGGCAGTCAAAGAATCCTGGGATGCCACTGACAGTGAAGCGGAACCTGAGGATGAATCCTCACAAGCCACCACAACCACGACAAACAATGGCAAAGCGGAGCTAGCCGACGAGACGGAGAGCGAAGAGAATGATAGCGATGATGAAAGTGAATCGGAAGACGAGGAAAGTGAAGAAGAATCCGAAAAAGAGGAGCAAGCGCTGGCCAATGATCCCGAATCTCGTCGCCTACGTGCCGAGGCGCGCATTTTGAAACGGCAAGCTGAGGCGGAGAAAAAACGCACCACCGATGAGCTGCGTGCCAGCGTCGTTTGTGTTTTGGGACACGTAGACACGGGCAAGACAAAAATTCTCGATAAGCTGCGTCGCACGCATGTCCAGGATTCCGAGGCGGGCGGCATTACGCAACAAATTGGTGCCACCAATGTACCCATCGATGCTATCAAGGAGCAGACGAAATATGTACGAGGAGCTACCGGCTTTGATCATCGTCTGCCAGGTCTGCTGATCATCGACACTCCCGGTCACGAGTCCTTCAGCAATCTCCGCAATCGCGGCTCCTCACTCTGTGATATTGCCATTCTGGTCGTCGATATTATGCACGGCCTGGAGCCCCAAACCATTGAGTCCATCAACCTGCTTAAAAAGAAGAAATGCCCATTCATTGTGGCGCTGAACAAAATCGATCGCTTATATGATTGGAAAGTTCTGGCTCGTCGTGATGTCCGCGATGTGGTTAAGGAGCAACAGGCGAACACACAGCTTGAATTCCAGCAACGCACCAAGGAGGTTATTCTACAATTCGCCGAACAGGGCCTCAACGCAGCCCTCTATTACGAGAACACCGATCCTAAGACATATATCTCTCTAGTGCCGACCAGCGCCATCACTGGCGAGGGAATGGGCAACCTGCTCTTTATGATTGTCGACTTCTGCCAGAAAATGCTGGCCAAGCGCCTAATGTACTCCGAGGAACTGCAGGCCACAGTTCTGGAGGTTAAGGCCATACCAGGTCTTGGTACCACCATCGATGCCATACTAATTAACGGCAAGCTACGTGAGGGTCAGACAATGATCCTAGCGGGCACCGACGGCCCCATTACGACTCAGATTCGTTCGCTGCTGATGCCACAGCCGATGAAGGAGTTGCGCGTGAAGAACGCATATGTGGAGTACAAAGAGGTGAAGGCTGCTCAGGGCGTAAAGATAGCAGCAAAGGATCTTGAGAAGGCCATTGCTGGCATTAATTTGCTTATTGCGCACAAACCCGATGAAATCGAGATTTGCAGGTAAGCAGCTGTCAGGCATTCGCTAGTTGCTTGAAAACGGTTAAATGAAAATTTGTGTCTATTTTTTAGGGAAGAGGTTGCACGCGAGCTGAAGAGTGCGCTTAGTCACATTAAATTGGCCCAGGCAGGAGTCTATGTGCAGGCTTCCACTTTGGGATCCCTCGAAGCTCTGCTGGAATTCTTGCGCACTTCCAAAATTCCGGTAAGTGAGAATATTATTACTATTGAAATATATACATATATTATCATTACTGATAATCAACCAATTAGCTTTAGCTATAGAATATTAGGGGGGTTCTAGATTTTGCTTTAAAGAATCCGACCAAATATTAATTATAATTCGAGTTTATTTTTAAATGTTCGTCCAATATTTTATATTGATATTTATTTTACTATTATAATTTTTTTTAATTTTTAAAAAATCTAATCCACCATTTCTCAAATACTTACCTAGTACTGTAAAAATATTAAGTGTGTGCCCAAAAGTATGCAATGAAATATTTTTGTTTAAATTGTGCTTTGATCCAAAACCGCTAGATGGCGGAGTGAACCATTTTTACATTTTCTCCATAAATATACATAAGTAAGGCAGGCAGAAAAGAAAATTATGCTGAAAGGATATAAGAAATTAAGGAATCGTATTTTATTTGTAAAGTGCAGCTACGAAGCGATTTCTTAATATCCAAAGACAGATTTGAGAGTTCATTCATTCATGTTTGGACTTATGGTAGGTAAGGATTTAGGTGTAAATAAACCTTTGCATTGATGTAAAAAATTTAATAATTGAAATATATAAATTACCCAAACCAAATTCAACTTCCTATAAGCCGACGAACTCTCATCAGCACTGAAAATGAGTGGAAAAAATCTCTACTCTTATTGAAATACTTTTCAATATACGCTCGATGCACTGCCCTATTAATAGAAAATTTACAATTGCGAATAATTTGAAGAAATTCCGGCCAAATCGGTATAACCATCTTTTAAGCATATGCTAAAATAAATTCATTATTATTCAATTTTCATCACCCCATCGAATGGGCCACACATGCTGCATGAAAACAATAAGCAACAATAACAATAATGAAAAGAAAAAGAAAAACAACGAGAATACCAGTGGCATATTTGGCAAGCTTTCTTTTGTTTGTTTAGATAATTAGCCAGAATATAGGGAGCAACCGCAATTTATAGGCCAGCCAAAACATACACCCACCGATTTTTCATAACAATTTTTCCCGAATTGCTCACAATTTTATGGTCCTAATGGGCTGCTGCTTAAAATGCCAACGCCATGCTGGTTCTGGGGGATTTTCATAAAATAGATCCAGTCGTGTGGCGATATAGTACGGTAGAGATTTTTCCACAATTATGTACATGTATATATTTCTTGATTTGGCGCAATTCGAATTTAGTGCGCGACAAAGTTGTAAATTGTTGCAGTTGAGCGCCAAACTATTTTTGAAAAAAAAAAATTATGAGTGCGTGCGTGTTGTCTGCCGCTGATGTCTGTCTCCCATTTTATATGTATGTATGTCTGGTGTCTGTCTGTGTTTTTGGTTTTTTAGTTTTTGTAGGTATGGTAGTGTTGGGTTGGCAGCCAGAGCGGCAGACGCTGGGCCTGTTCGCTGCTCGCTGCTGGCTGTGGAGGCGCGCAAAAATTTTGCGTAAACATAAAATGGTATTTTTGTAAATGAAATGCAAATAGTTGCAACGGGAACAGCAACTGCTGCTGTTTTTGTTCTTGTTGTGCATGATGATGATGATGATGATGATGATGATGATGATGATGATGATGATGAGGACGATGATTCATGCCAGAGGCAGTCGGTGGCGCACAGCCAACAACATACGCACCGTCTGCCCGACCGAGCGACCAAATGACCGACCGACCGACCGACTGTATGTCTGTCTGTCAGCCGCACGAGATTGAACGTCAACTAAAAATACGATGCGCTATATACATACATACATGCCTATTCAAATACATATATACGTTATGTATACACTATGTGGCCACAAACATATCCAAAAGAAGGGTTTTCAAGTTACGAATACTTGTCCCCCCAAACTTTTCTGCAATTTCGTAATGATTTTGCACATACTTGTATATGGATTCAAGACTAGGTGCTTCGACGGGAATATTGATTTTTAATTCGGAGTCAAAACCCTCTTCGCTGGTCACTTACCGTTGGCCAAATAGAGTGTTCGTTTAAGGCATTGACTTTTTGTCCTTTCGTTGCTTACTTTAATTGTTAAAAAAAGTTGACTTTATTCAACATAAAAATTCAGTTACGATTTATGTAAGTACTTAAGATCCAAATTCATTCGATAATACATAATTATATCACTAAATTTTGAACCTTGTAAGACTTAATTTTTTGGAGATCCAGCTTTAGTTGGAGCTTGGGGTTATAGTTAGAGCTTTAAAAAAATATATATATATAATATGTATAAACAGCAGAGTCTCCAAAACTTTACTGGTGGCTGGGAACCCTGTACTATAATTGGGGTTTCAGATAACATTCGCAATCTGCATACTTATGTACGTCATGTACATATGTATGTATGTATGTACATGTTCTGGTACATCAACTTTCATATCCCTAAGTTCCGATAATCAAAAAGTTTCATCATTCATGAGTTTAAATGAATCTTTCTCTGATATAGAGATATATGTATATCTTATTCTATTTCATTAAATATTGTTAATTATATAAAAACACTTAAGTATTGTATTTGTGGTTTGTCTGGCTGTGGAATACCTGGACAGTTGTAGTTTGTAAGAACTTGAACCGATCATCTATTTCCTGTTATTATATCTGATTAAATCTCATGAACATCTTCATCATATTGAGATTGTAGTAGATTTTTCCGTGCGTTTCTTAGACCTGTGGAGTTACGATCTTGATATTCAAAGATTTCAGAAATTCACGTCTATTTCATTGACAATTGGACAATAGATCTATAAAATGAACCGCTCAGATTCGCGGCTTGCATCCGCTCCTGGTTAATAGAGGTCCGCATAATCGCGGTTCAACTCCCATATTGACGGATATGCCAACTCAAATTCCATTTCCAATTCACACGCTTAGCTCGAAATTGGAAGCCTGAAAATAGGTGTCTTTGTCGTTGTTGTTGTTGCTGAAGCTACCCAAATGTATTTTTAATCTTTAATGCAATAATTTTGCCAGCGTTGCTGTTTAAATTTGTTGTTGTTTAAAGACGGCACAGTTTGGATTAAGTAAGAGTCCAGCGGAAACGCAAACGGAAGTTGAATAAAATGCACAAAATAACAATAATAACAAATTAAAAACAATAACAACAGCAACAGCAACATTGTTTTCCACAAAAATCGACAGGAAGGTAGGTTTTGCAAAAAACATACAATTTATACAAAAGAAGTCACTTGACTTCTTGCTGTGGAAATACACTTTCAAAGCGGGTGTTATGGTTTTGTTTTAGAGCAGATTATTATTATATATTGCTTGATAGATTGCACAGTTTTCAATAGATGATATTTATTATATTTTTTATTGTTATAAGATTGTACAGTTTTCAGTACATATTTCTCTCAAAAAAGGGTGGAATATTCGGAAATGCCTATTCTGGAAATATAGGAATTTTTAAATTAAACCCTAAGCTAAGGGTTAAGCTCATATTTGTTTCAATTTTTCATAGATTTGCCTGATATGTTGTACAGTTTTCAGTCATTTTCTGGATATTACACAATCATATCTGATTGAAACAATCAATTTGTTATTTTGATATCGAATCTTTTATTAGAACATTAATTTTATTGGAGTCTTTAAAGCGCACATCCGGCAATAATTTAATGAGATTATGAGAACAATTGATAATAGAAAGCGGAAACTGACTGTATTTTAGACACGAAGCTTGTCCTATCTTTCCAATAAATCATCTAAAGAGTATTGAGGCTTCGCAGCAACTAAAGATAATATTCTCTTTTCCTGTTGTTGTGTTGTTCGGTCTTAAAGATAAGAGAATTGCTATTTATTTTTAAGTAAACACTCTCCTCAATGCCTGCCTTATTTATTCTTGGCTAGCTTGCACGCCCCTAGTCATGTGACTTTGTGTATTCTTGTTCGGGGGTGTGGGCTGGTTATCTGTGACCTAGCCAAGGGATTAATTATGCTTTAATCGAGCGAGCACATTGCCAAGATAGTAAAAGTCAGACAACATTTGTCATCGACCCAAACGAACGCCAACGAAAAGTGCGGTACAAGCTCATTAGCAGCAGCATTGCAAGCAACACTGATGAGGCTCCCACATTTTCTAAGGTTTCCCACAGTGTGTCTGTCTGTCTATCTGTCGTCAACAGCAGTAACAAACACTGCTCTTCAGCCACAAAACCTCAAAAAATTCAAAAAAAAGAAAAAATATGGTGGCAGACTGCGTTATACCCTAAATTCGAAACGAAACGCACTTTAAAATTCTATGATTTAGAATAAAAAGTCAGATGTTTCTTGTTGTTTTAGTTTTTAGAAATTAAGTGCCTGTTTTATTTATCTTACATTGTTTTTTGAGGTTGTTTGTTCGACTTTTGTATTAATTTTTATCGAGAATCCAGATTCGAGCGTTATGGAAAAATCGTTTAAACATGGCTACGAAGAAAATTGCAACAAAGAAACAAACAAACAAGCTCGTCGAGAACTTTGCAATTGGAATTGGAATTGTTTTCATTTTTGTGACTCTAACTCTTTTACTTTTCAAAAACGATGCGTTCATACGGTCGAACACACAGGAACAAATAAACAAGATGGTGCGGTATGTTTTAGTATTTTCTTAGTTTTAGTATTTCAGAACAAGCTAGAATGGCACTATTAATTTGTTTCTAGGAATTCTATAACACTTTTAATTTAACAGATTGAGTTGTGCAAAATTCAATGAATGATTTCCACAGAAAGATAACTTTTAGATTTTTGGAATTTAAACTTTTTGCAAACTAACCGCTGAAAAGGTCTAACAAACGCAGAACATAGAACGGTCGATCGGACAAACAGACATTTGATTGTTTGTGTACGATTTGAAAGAGAAGGCATCTTAAGTCTGGTAAACAAAAATCTCTGTTTTAATTTTTCTCAACGAAGTTTGCGAAAGTCTAAATAGAACATGGCCCACCTATGGGGAAAAGTAATGAGCGCATCTATTTTTGTTGTTCCCGCTATTATACTTTTTGTAATC